GTGTCAAGAGAATACATAAAGCAATAAATGCATTTGGAACACTCTGCCAGTTCATTTTTACATACAAATTTCAAAATGCTTTGTGGTGATGCACACTTCTCACCACATCTTGACATACTTTAACTTTTAATTCACTATACAGTACAAATTTGCAGCACCAAAAATCTTTGTTACGTATCACCATGATGTAAAGCTTTTTCTAGCTTTCGTTATTATTTTATTATTTCCTTTGTTATTGTCCTCAAATTGTGAGCATCAAACAAGAAGCCAAGCAGAAAGATAACTTGGTACAAGTGTGAATCTTTGTTCAACTGTTTGTATTGCAACATGCAAAACAGCAAATTAAAAGTTTACTTTGAACTTCAGCACGGGATTCTGAATTGGTTCATCGTGTCTCATGTGTGAACTAATTCCTCCGCCTAACATAGACTGGCTCGGGTTCATCATGTTTGCTGATTTGCTCCCAACTCCTCAGCAAGTTCAAGTGCATTTATTAATGCTTTCTCAAATTCATCATTATTACTGCAGTTTACAAGAATCTTTTGTGTTTATTCCAGTTTTTCAAGAGCATCACAAACCATATATCAAATTCCTTCCCTTGATTTGTTTTAGTCATACAAAGAGGATACCATACCAAGCACATGTGAAACCATATAATTGAAATGAGAAACATTGTTAGAATTTATGCCTCAACATGTGAAGAATTGTTAGATGATCCTGTGAGGGAAATATCAATAGAGATTTCAATTAAGGCATCAAAGATATTGCCTAGTTGGTAGTGATGGGATTTCAGTGCAGTCACTTGTCTTTCCCATCTTGTATCACTTAATGGTCAAATTTGGTACATAATATTTTTTAACCTCCTGACTGTGTTGAAGCTGAAAGGTACAGTACACAAAAATATGTTGTACGAGTCAAAGAATGTTGTTACCACCAAGCAACCCTTGGCAGGATCATTAACAACCAAATTTATAATAAGTGTACACTGCCAGGAACTAACAATGCTCATAACTAAAATCCAAAATTTCCTTTATACTGTACATTTGGGAGATGGTGCCTTATCATATTTTACACTGTATATACCGTATATATTTTAGAATAAAAATTACAGTATCATATTTCAAATGATATTAATAACAATAATATTTTTATAAAGGAAAAGAAAATTTCCAAAAAAATTTATGAACTTCTACAACAATTATAGACACATTTAAGAAGTGTGGGGAGAGCAAAACTGTTTTTTTTTCTGTATGAAAGGAGAGACAGCCACAACACCCCCACCCCCCTTAAATCCACCATTGGTATGGCTCGAAATTAATATTTGCCCTACCCTGAGGTTAGCATAAATGTGTAAGGGTAGCTGGAACATCTGGGTTGACTAGCCTGGTTAGCTAGAGATAACTGTTAGCAGTACTCTTAAGTGAACAGTCCCTGTACAGTGCCAGGATGAACAACTTTTTGCATTTTATAAACATCATACAGTATATTTAATTTTTAGTTTTATGGGATATCAATATTAAAGTCGTAATTTGTTTTATTATATAGTACTGTATATTAACGTAGATGTATTAGTTGTGTATTGGTTCTTTATTGAACTATTATTATATCAGACAGTGATTCAGAGGAAGAGGAGTTCACGCCTCCTTATGTGCCACAGGACATAGTGTAGTGTACCCGGTAGAGATGAAAGCTCACAAAAATATTACACTTATAATTTATGATTAAAAGTTTCCAGTTGTAGGCTTCACCTTAGTGTACTCGTCTGGTTTACAAGGTATGAGTAGTATCCAATCTGCACCACAATACTGTGTTCATTATCACCCAGTACAGTACAGTGCAGTACAGTATGTGAAATAAGATTATATCAGCATATTTGCCATACAATAGTTAAATAATTTTTCTTAAACTCTTACCACATTGTCTCAGAACACATAGAACTATGTACTGTACTGTACCTATAATTAGTGCTACATTAGAGCAGGTAGCTAGATATTCTTAAAGAGTGGTAGATTTTTTTTCAACAATTAGCCCTGTGGACTTTAGGTGAACTTCGACCCCTGATTGAATAATGTAGTATTTACATACTGTACATATGTATGGTACCTTGGGAGCCTCTTGGGGCAAAGGATGTCATAGCCACTTTAAGCACATGACTGTATATTACTGTTTCAGAGAGAATAAAGGTATTATCAGTATTATATGCTACCTGATCATCCAATAATAAGTACACTTTTAGTATATACAGGACCTGGAATTTGCAAATTTGGAGGCATTTTGTGTACATTTAAATCTGAGACTGTACAATACAGTACTGTGGATAAAGAATAAATCAGACTTTTGTATTGATGGATAAAAATAATTATGGTTATTAAGATGCAAATGGATAGTAAAGTGCTGGATACTAAAGCCTTTACTTTATTGTATAGATCATCACATAAACGAGATAACGAAAGTACAGAGCCTATGGGATTTATTCTAATTGGTTCCAGGCACCCAAGACCCAACCCCAAGTTTCCCATTTTACGACCATTTAGACCCACTAAATATATATACAGTACAGTGTATATATATATATATATATATATATATATATATATATATATATATATATATATATATATATATATATATATATATATATATATATATATATATATATATATATATATATAATGTTATGGTAAATATCATAAACACACATAGGCATGGCTAGGTTTATTACAAAGTGATGAAAAGGGTACGCTCAATACTGTACAGTGGGTAGTCCACAAAACATGTAGCTATGCTTTCTTTATTTGAGTGCCCCGTCATAGGAGTCCGTTTTCTCTCGCTTCAGGACGCCCGAGTCCTCCAGATTTTACAGATTGCCCACGAGGGGCTAGTTTATTGGGCACCCCCTTACATCCTGTGCAAGGTGAAGCGCAGAAGCGTTTACAGTGCCCAACAGGGAAGCACGCAGAGTTCATGCTTGCCTTTATGACTCGTGCATTAAGGGCGTAAAAGGCCTGAAGGGTCATGGGTTTTGTCAGCAAGTTACATAAAGTGACAGAATGATGAGTGTGTGGGAGGAAAATTCCCGGTACAATTTACCTGTTTATGGCAAAGTGTAGCAGGTCCCTAATAATGTCAAGTGCCAGGCCTGTCACTAGGAGGAGAGATATCTGGTCAGGGAGGGAAGAGGTGCCACCCCTGTAGGGGGAGGTCATAGGGCAGATGAGGATGTGGTGAAAGAGGGTGTGAGAGTCTGTTGGCCACAAAGTTTACAAACAGTGCGGCCAGGCTCAGGGTTGCCAATGTACTAGGCGTGGCGAAGTACAGTGGGGGTGGAGGTGATATGGTGTGGTGGGGCAGGTACAGTAGGGGTGGAGGGAGTGCACCAGAGACTTCGTTATTCCTTAGTAATGACACAGAATTTGAAATTGCAAGCCCAATTGCAACTGGGGTTGCAATTGTTGGGGCAACTAGATATGTCTGATTACAGCAAATGTGTTATTGTCAATTTGTAGGTGAAAGATTTTATCCTCAATAGATGTAGGTTAACATTACACCTGGAGGCAAATGCTTACTAAAGCCTAAGGAAGGAAGGATATTCCTTTAACACATAATCAATATTATTTACATAATATCTGGCCAGTGTGGGGAGGATCATCGTGTCTCCGTCAGGGGGTCGTGGAGTGGTGGGCCAGCAGGCATCACGGAAGTGTTTTTTTTTGTTTTTTTTTTTAGGGGGCAATGACGTATATGCGATTGGTGGTTGTTCGGTTGGACTTTAGCCGGCGCATGACTGTATTTAAAGTTTTCAACCTATGCTATATTGTATGCAGAGGGTCCCCGGGTTACAAACGGATTCCGTTCCTGATGAAGTTCTTAAGTCGGATTTGTACGTAAGTCGGGAAACATGCTATGTGCATACTGTACTTACAGAAAAAATTTTAAAATCCCACTATATCCCACTATATCATAACCTAAGTCCATATATAAAGTACATCTAAAATCATTTAATTTAAGACAGAAGAAAATTTATAATGACAAAATACAGTAAATGAAAGTAAAAAAAATAAGTCATAAGGTAAAAAAATTCCTGTAAATTTCAAGTTTAACCCCGTTTGTATCGGGCAAAGCTTTCCTAAGTCGAGGACCCCCTGTATACAGTACTGTACGGTACTCTTCTTGGCTTTACATCTTATTCTCAGGAGTTTGGTCTTTTCATCATTAATAATAATTTCTTTTTTCCAAACATCCCCCCCAAAAAACGAACTAAAACTTCAAACCCTTCTTTCATTTTTGCCAATACTGTACTGCACTACAGTATGTTGACACTGTCTGCATAATGCCACTATATTCATTGTAGTAGTTTAGCTGGGGCATCTTAGTCTAATCTCTCTGCTTATCACAACCTGTCAAGCTGCTTTTTCTAATTCTACTGTAGAGGATGTGAGATTACTTTAACCTCCTCCAGTACGTACAGTAATTCCTTTATATAATCTACTTGCTCTTTTTTCTGGTCTAGAGTAGAGTACAGTATATGTATAGCTACTGTGCAGTATATATGATTTAGCAAATTCCACTACATCAAATTACTTCCTCAGCAATACAATTTTCTTACTCATCCAAGCATTTAATTTAATTTTGTATCACACATCATCAATCTCAGTCACCATTTTTTTATAGTTTCTATACAGTACACCCTCCACAAACTGCACTGGATCAACTGCATAGTCATCAAAGTCCATATCCCAACGATCCAGTTCCAACTTTACTCTTGATGCACAAAATTCTTGGGAGTAATTTGTATTACATGTATCTGAGTTAAAGTTACAATGACTACATTAAATACTGCTCCAGTAATACAGTATTATTAGCAAGCATCTATACTGTACCTCTGAAGGAAACTAAACACAACACCTGCCATTGATTCCCTAATCACTGAAAAACAAATCACTAGAGCAGGAACTAGATAGTACAGGTATGGAGGAAGCTAGAGATTAAGCAAGACTCACCTGTGAGAGGACGGAGATGTGGTCGACATAGTACTGGTCGGCCTGTGGTTTGGTGAAGCGGTTGCAGAGACATGACTTTCCTAGACCTGTCACGCCTTCTCTCTCTCCGCCTGACACACCAACCACAGACACCACCACTTGCTTGGCCGCGTTGAGCCATGCCCGCCCACACCACGGGCTCTGACGCCCACCGGGAGGCCAGCCCAGGCTCACACACTACTCGGTAAACCCATCACGTATGTACTGGTATGCCAACACCCGCACCCATGGTTACCTATGGTGTTGCCACCATCACACAACACTTGGGTATGTTTACAACAAGGGTCAACTCACTGCACTGGTCACTGCTGCCCCTGTGACCTGGGCCACAGGCCTTGGTCACCTTCCCTGAGGGCTCCCCTTGTTCCACAATATTAGCTCTCACTACAGATGCTAAACCATTAAATTTTCCAGGGTCTTCACTTTCACTTTAAAATAATAAACTATCCAACACACTGATCACTAATACAACCACTCTGAGTTTTGGTTACAACAGTGAGAGCACTTAGCCATGGGCATGTTCATTAGGTGCTTAGGCTGGGGCAAGGCAGGAGGCCATGGGTGACTTAAGGCTAGACAGACACTTGGGTGGACTGGTGTGGGCAAGAGGGCCAGTGGGCGCAATGCGTGGGTGTGGATGGGATGCAGGCCGCCCACTGGAGGCGCCTGCTATTAACCGCCGACAATCATCATGAATGACCTGTGGACAAGAAAAATCATTCAATAACATTATCACTCTTAAAAGGATAAAACATTCATTATACAACAGGACAAAATTACAATTCAATAAACTGTATACTGTTCACTTAGCTAATACTGTACATGGTTAACCCTTCATCAGCAGCTAAGTCCCCTCCTCTCAACATGTGCAAAAACTGAACACAAATATTAATAAAAACTTCACTGACGATGGCTGTCGTCCTTACTACTAGCTTCCACCAATGATGAGAGCCACTTAAGGGTTTAGGAACACAGAATCCTCACAAAATATCACACACAGCACATCTATGTAATGTTACCATAACTGTACAGTTTCAGAAACATCATCAAAAAAATGGAAATGTAACTGATTACAAAAAAACGATTTCCATAAGTGTTAATGGCATACTGTACGAACAACTCCAATGCCTAGTGAACAAATATTGATACCCGGTTCCTTATAACTAAATTTAAAGTTCAAATTCCATTAGAACAAACAAGGAAACATATATAATGTAATAAAACTAAGAGAAGATAATTACAATGCAAGTTGATTGCACCACATTGTATAAATGCTTACATTAATTAGCCATTAAATACATTTCTACAGTATTCTATCAATGTTAAAGCACCATCTCCACCTGGGAGTTAATTGTCTTTTATACTGCACCTATATAAGTAGAGTATCTGCACTAAAGTCTCAATAAACTTTGATTCTAAAGAGCCAAACATTTGAAGCTCTTCATACAGTACTTTACCATACAGAAGAACTAGTCAAAACGTCGTGACATAAATTGTTTTATACAGTAGCCACAAGTTTTAGCCGTGAAAAATGTGGCAACAATCTAAATTTCAATATAGAAGAAGCAAAACTAAAGACTGCAGAGCAATAACGCTCTTGACCAATCAGGGCCCGGCTGACCACATTAATTATGCATGAAGTTTGCCCACGTTATAAGCCTGAGCGAGGATGCAGCATTTTAAAATAAAATCTCCAGTAAGACTAATCAAAACAGGAGAGAAATAAAAATTAGTCATAAAGCTGTTGCATACAAGAACCTCAACATAAACAAGTTATTACCATACTGTTTATGTTACAATTAAAGTAATACAGTTACCACGTCCTAAATTAGCAACACATTTATGAAATTATCTGGGAGTCAATCACGTGACATTCAAGAAGAAAATAAGAAAATAAAGATGTGTAGAAAAGCAATGCCGCTCGGCTTTACACTAACAACTAAGGACAGTTACCAACACTGTAAAATCTTCCTCACTCTCTAGTTCTCAGAAACTCCACCAGGTCGACCACTACCCTATGATGTAAACTGGAATTTCACACTTCTGTATTTTGGTCAATTTTAATGCAATAAAAAATCTAACATGGTCATCTGTGTACTGTATGCATTCAAAAACAAACACAATACTGCACATGAATTCTATGATAGATATTTTGTGTGTGACTGAGCTCAAGTTTTTTATACAGTACCAACAACAAATAGGGCAAAGGTAACTCATCACTGTACTGTCCATCCTCTTCTGCTATGCCACAAACTCAGTTAAGCATCATGCAGAGTGCAGCCGCTCGGACATATCAAATGGTTCATCACTCATTTGAAAATTTCTGCTGTTAACTAAATTAATTGTGAGTGGATGAGAGGCATGCACGGGTAATGAGGCGATCCTAGAAATGTTTGTTGGCGGGTGTAATAAAGTCAACACATTCTTGAGGTCTCGAACTGATTAATAACAAGAGGGTGAGGAGGAGGAGGTAGGATGGGGGGGTGGAGGTAGGATGGGGGTGGGAGGCAGGATGGGGGGTGGAGGCAGGATGGGGGGTGGAGGCAGGATGGGGGTGAGGCAGGATGGGGGGGTGAAGGCTGGAAACAAATGGGAGAATGTGGAAGAAGGAGGAAGGAGAGAGGAAGATGGAGGAAGGAGAGAGAAAGATGGAGGAAGGAAAAGATAGGTGAAGGAAAGAGGGAGGGAAAGGAGGAAGGAGAGAGGGAGAAGGAGGAAGGAAGGAGAGAGGGAGAAGATGAGGGAAGGACAGAGGGAGGAGGAGGAAGGAAGGAGAGAGGGAGAGAAGGAGAGAAGGACAGAGGGAGAAGGAGGAGGAAGGAGAGAGGAAGATGAAGAGTTAAGTGAGGAACAGGTAGAGTTAAGTGAGGAACATGAAGAGGTAAGTGAGGAACAGGTAGAGTTAAGTGAGGAACATGAAGAGGTAAGTGAGGAAATATGAAGAGGTAAGTGAGGAACAGGTAGAGGTAAGTGAGGAAATAGTAGAGGTAAGTGAGGAACATGAAGAGGTAAGTGGAGAACATGAAGAGGTAAGTGAGAACAGGTAGAGTTAAGTGAGGAACGTGAAGAGGTAAGTGAGGAACATGAAGAGGTAAGTGAGGAACAGGTAGAGGTAAGTGAGGAACAGGTAGAGGTAAGTGAGGAACATGAAGAGGTAAGTGAGGAACATGAAGAGGTAAGTGAGGAACAGGTAGAGTTAAGTGAGGAACGTGAAGAGGTAAGTGAGGAACATGAAGAGGTAAGTGAGGAACATGTTGTAAGTACTGACAAAGACCGTGAGGCTGGGGAGGCTGCTGGACCAGCAGTTGTTAGTGTGGCCCACTGCGGCCCAAGACAGAACTGGGGTGTGAGATGTTATCCTAGCCTGGCCACAACAATACTTTGGGGCCACATTACCAGTTAACTCTTATGGCCACATCAAGAGTGTATTTTAATGGCCACACTACGATAATCGGGCATCACCACCAGCCAGGACATGTCTTCAAATTGTGGCCACATTTCCCATGGACTGGACTATCGTGGTTATAATCATCACTAAAGTCACACCACCACCCCTGTGAGACCACACTACAAATGGACTGGTATGGCCACACCAACATCAAGTGGCCATACCACCACTACCGGCGGGGAACACCACCACCCACCTATGTTTTCCTTTTTCCAACCACCACCACCAAAATCAATAAGAGATAGAGGCCACGCCACACACACTGCCTGCCTGCTTGGCTCGCTCTCACTCTCTCATTCTCTCTCTCATCCTTACTGTCTGTTTTATTACCAAGTATTACCCTAATCCCACCTTCATAATCAGAGTCTACAATACATCGTTCAAACAGAAGCGCAGTTCGTAAAGATTCACTCTGACAACATTGATCAAAACAGACTCAGACACCAGCCCATAAACAGGTTATAGGAGAGTAGGTGAGAGTACACCGCTTCCTCCACCTCCCACAACATGTACTTCCTCCACCTAACACAGCACAGCATCCCACTCAAGCTCCCCCTAACACCGCACAGCATCCCACTCAAGCTCTCCCTAACACAGCACAGCATCCCACTCAAGCTCTCCCTAACACTGCACAGCATCCCACTCAAGCTCCCCCTAACACCGCACAGCATCCCACCTGCTCGCCCTAACACCGCACAGCATCCCACCTGCCTCCCCTAACACATCCCTCATCTCACACACTCCTCATCAACTCCCTCCATCACCCCCAACTCTTTACCTCCCTCAGTCTCCAACAACCCCCCACCCTCCCTCCTTCCATAACAGAGCATTTCCCTACCCCCTTTACCTCCTCCCCAACACCCCCTCACACCCCCCATTCCAATAATCACCTACTGTAGCCTCCCCCACCCACACCGCCCCTGCCACTACAGACTGGAGCTCTGTGTGGAGGGCGTGGTCCAAGGAATACCAAGAACTGATGCAAGAGACACATGGTGTAAGCAGCCACCTGCAATACCCCCCATCCTCCCTCACCACTGCCAACACCCCTAAACTCATGAATGAACTAGCTCAACCCCCTGCCACTCACTATTAATGATACACTTTATTACACAAATTGTACATTAGATGAGGTGACAAGGACAGCAAAGGGACGCCAATCAGTAAGCACCAAATTGTAGAAAGGTAGAGAATATGAGGCGCCCGTACCAGACACTCATCAAATCTAATATCAAATATCAAACCCAATCCCCAGAATGAATTTGATGTTAGATTAAAAAACCCAGGTAATCTCATTTCCTCACAAACTGCAGCAAAACAAACAAAGAAGAACATACGACACACACACACACACGGGGAGATTAATTTCACAAGGTAAAATGCCAGTGTGTGTGTGTGTGTGTGTGTGTGTGTGTGTGTGTGTGTGTGTGTGTGTGTGTGTGTGTGTGTGTGTGTTGTGTGTGTGTGTGTGTTGTGTGTGTGTGTGTGTGTTGTGTGTGTGTGTGTGTGTGTGTGTATGTATGCTAGTGTGTGTGTGTGTGTGTGTGTGTGTGTGTGTGTGTGTGTGTGTGTGTGTGTGTGTGTGTTGTATGCCAGTGTGTGTGTGTGTGTGTGTGTGTGTGTGTGTGTGTATGTGTGTGTGTGTGTGTGTGTGTGTGCCAGT